TTTTTTTCAATCTTGGTCATTCAAATCTTAAATGTTTCAATAAGTGGGTGACAGGTATATTTCACAATTCATACGCTGAATTTTGCTTGGAGCTGATGTATTTGTTGGTAAACTAAAGCTTCAGGGTCTACTGATTCCTGAAACATGGATGCATTTATTTGATGAGGATTCATATGGGTCATTAGGCAATCACTTTAATATCTGGTTCATATATACATTATATATATATATATATATATATATATATCATAAAATTATGCACTTACAAAAAAGTTGAGTTGTAGTAAGTTAGCTAAATGTTTTATCACTTATTTGCAAATGATTGATTGGCAGGTGCTCCCTCGTTTTTGGGGCATCTATTATGCAGGATCAAGATCTTAACGAGTACAATCCTTCTAGCTCCAGCACCAGCAAAACTCTCTCCTGCAGTCATCACTTGTGTAATATGGGCCCTGAATGTCTGAATCCTAAGCAGCAATGTTCATATACGGTCAACTATTATTCAGATGATACCTCAACTTCTGGATTCCTGGTTCAAGATGTTCTTCATCTTCTTCCCGGCCATTCTGATGGGTTGAACAAATCTGTTAGAGCTCCAGTCGTTATTGGGTATGTTTTGATTCACTCATATTTAGATTTACTAGGGACTTCCTCGAACAAATTCCAAATACTTTCAACTTTTTATCACGATACTTTCTGTTCTTCTGTTCTAGGTGTGGTAGTAAACAAACCGGTGGTTACCTGAGTGGAGTTGCACCTGACGGTCTATTGGGTCTGGGACTCGGAGAAATTTCTGTCCCAAGTTTTCTTGCCAAAGCAGGATATATTAAGAACTCATTTTCTCTGTGTTTTAATGAAGATGATTCTGGGAGGCTTTTATTTGGGGACCAGGGAGTAGGTGGCCAAGAAACTACTCCATTTTTGCCATTTAATGGAAAAAAGTAAACATTATGTTATAACTGTAACTGCTTAATTTATATTCGTTGTGTGCATTAATGGCAAGTTTGGTCAAATAATGCTGCAGTTCAACTTATATTGTTGGAGTGGATGCATGCTGCATTGGGAGTACATGTCTTAATGAGACGAATGTCGAAATGCTTGTTGATAGTGGAACGTCATTTACCTTTCTTCCAGATCAAATCTACCAAAGAGTGGTTGAGGAGGTTTCCAATTTTCCCTTATCTTCCTTCCTTTTTAGCTGGGTATCTGCTATAAGAGTGAGATTGTGCTGAGTCATTGTTTTTGTCATAGCTTGACAGACAAGTTAATGCTTCAAAATCTACCTTCAAAGGCTACCCATGGCAATATTGCTACAAGTCGAGGTATGTGCTTGGATTGATTGTGCATGTGATGTTGAAATAATTTATATTTTGTACAACTGATATTTATATTTCAACAGTTCCCTTGAGGTGTCAAATGTTGTTCCTTCATTCACTCTCAAGTTTGCATCAGCTAAAGGTTTTGTCATCAAGAATCCTGTTTTTGATATTTACGGAACTCAGGTTATTAATTTCAACCCGTATTTGTTTTGCCTTAGTGCCTCTAATTATGAAATCTTGTTTATGGTTTGATTTGTGATGATACTTTTGCTTCTAACTAATTTTCTCAGAGATTATTTGATATTCAATACTAAACATCAGTGTACTTTATTTGGTATTTTGGTTATGGCACTTGAGGGATGATCTTATAATGTGAATAGTAATCTGAAAAGACAAAACTAATCAATATAAGCAATCGAGAGTTCTTTCTGTTTCTTCCTTTCACACCTTTTATTATTTGAGTTTTAATTTACAAAACCAATGATAATGTAATAAACACATAAAATGAATTTCAAGGCTGAATAAATCAAATTTCAGATAAAAAGATAATGTAACAAAGAGACCATTTTAAATTGCTTTTCAACATTTTTTCTCTTGTTGTGTTGCAAATGTTTGGACAGGTATGATGTAGTAGTATGTACTATTTGTACCATCACTTATTTGAAATGCCCATAAGGATGACATCCCTGTGGTTTTGTAATATTTAATTGCATTCATAATTAGTTTTCTTACATTCATTTATTTAATCACGTGATATCAATGGCTCAAATTGTACAAGATGATGTACCAATGTGAGATAAAAGTAAAATGGTCAAGGAATTTCATTATTTTGGAATGATTTATGGTGTTGAACACCTTATCACTATGCTTAATGAATACAAAGCTTTGAGGTAGCTTAATGTTGATTGTAAGAATTATTAAATCAGTTTTGTAGATACTTAATCTTGTCATCAGTCGTGTTATATTTTGCATTTTTATACTCGAACTATGATACCTGAAATATTTAAAAAAGAAAAAATGATCTGAATGGTCTTTTCCCCCCTCTGTATAGGGTGCAGTTGGATTTTGTTTAGCAATACAACCAACAAAAGAGATCGTTGGGACTATTGGACGTAAGACCCTATTAGCATTCAGTTGACATTCTTAATTTCACAAGTAGTCACATGGCTTGCACATAACTTTTTATAATAGATAGCCTCTGAGCTGCCATTGATACAAATCCCTATTCGTTTCTTATCTTACTCAAATAATTCACTCTTGCAGAGAACTTCATGACGGGGTATCAGATTGTATTTGATAGGGAAAATTTAAGGCTGGGCTGGTCCCGTTCAAATTGTGAGTATCTGAGAGCTTTGCAAATATCTGAGATATTATACTTGATAAGTTTGAAATGTTGTGATTTGGATAGTTTGCTTTACGGTTTTATCTCATGCTGATGAATCCCTACCCAATGAATATACTTTCCCAACATGCATAATTGCGATTTCGTTAATATTATACGTCAAAAAATTTAATAACTTGTGTTAACATTATGTTTTTTCTCTCTTTCCGTTTCTTCTAGAGCGCAAATTCCCAGGGGGGAGTAGGTGAAAATTGAACACTGGACCCCTCGTCTGGTCTTAAACTATATGCTTTCCATTTAGTTCTCGTTACATCACATATGATAGACTTCTTAGTTATATTATTGGTTTTAAAAAAATTGAATCCAATCAATCTATGCTTACTGGATATAAAATAACTTGACATGCTTCCTTAATAGGCGGTATCTATTTTAAAAGTGGGAAACATTTATACAAACCATTTGTGATATTCGTCTTTAACCCCCTCTATTATAATTTTTTGTCCAACCTAACCCCCTAAAATATGGAAAAAAGAATCTATGGTGCCATACATCCCCCATCTGTTGAATACAATGTTTTCAGGTCGGCTGGTTGAACCTGGTCGACCACGGACCGACCAGACGATTAATCGTGATTAATCGTCGACCAGCTAGATTAATCGGGCTGCCTC